TTTTCAAGGCAAGAGCTTCACCCAAAGTCATCCCCCCTGCCCTGACCTTGAACTTCTGATTCTCCTGTCTCTGCTACCGAAGTGCTGGGGCATTACAGGTATGTGCCACTACATCCTGTTTATTTTTCAATGGCTTATTACATAGAGACTTCCTATCACCCTGAGAGCATTATGCTTCTTTAAGAACGGGAATTACTGGCTGATAGAGCAAATCTGCCTTCAGGAGCAGGTGGATGCGGGTGTCTGAAGCTTCTGTCAGTGCTCTGTTCCATAGCACTACCTCATTACTGGCTAGGGCTGTATTTTTAAAAACAATTCTTATTTATGTGTGTGGGGGGGGGTGTTTATGGTGGTCAAAAGAGGTTTCCATCCCCTGAAACTAAGTGGCTCTGAGCCATCTGATGTGGGTGCTGGGGATTGAACTCCATCTCTTTGGCCCCATAGGTTCACAATGGGGACAGGATTACCCTTCATGATGCCAAGGTGACCACCCCCTGATCTAGATTTATGTCCTAGCAATTTGGAAACTCCCTCAGGAAGCATCTTACCCAAACACTCCTCCAAATGCAGCAGGCTTTCCCAGGTTTGTCTATTTACCCACTGTTCTCTGCCCACATGGCCTCAAGTCTGAGACTGGCCTTCCCCTGGCACTCATTTCACTAACCCTTTTCACATCAGCTATTATCTGAGTGTGTTCCCCAAGTTCCTATTTGGAAACCCAACATCCAACATGGCTGATGTGAGGCCTTGAGGAGGCAGGAAGCCTCATGAATCTCTACTCATCACTGGGAGGAAGTGCCATCTATGAACCAGGAAACACCCTCTCAAATACCAAATCTGCCCAAACCTTGATTCTGGTCTTCTACCCTCCAGCACTGTGGGGAACTGTTCTGTATAAACTACAAGTGTATGTGGAGTGGAAACTCAAGGGTTCTTTGGAGAGTCAGTTGTGTTAGAAGGTGTTTTGCTGGGGAAAACATGTGAAGGAGTGGTTTCCTGAAACGGACACAGGTGAAAAGGTTAAGGCAGACTCGTGAAGGAACGTTTCACTGAAGCAGACACAGGAGAGAGGATGTTCTGCTAAAGCAAGCATGTGAAAGGACACACAATGAAAGATTCTTTGCCAACAACACGCATGTATTGGTCTACCTTACATTACGTAGTTGAGCTGCATTTGTTGGGATTCCAAAGAGAGAAACATACCAAAAAACTTCTGGTGGTGTGCAGAGGCTTTTTCTGCTGCTTCCTTGTACTCAGGCTGATTGGCAAGAGTGATGTCAGCTGAGACAGACGCACGTGCTGAGGCGAGACCCGGGGGTCATGTGGTGTTAAGAGGGACGAAATAGGACTCTACGGTCAGTGCAGTAGGCTGAGCTTGGCTTGCTTATAGACCAAAGCTTAAATCAGAGAAACAAATGCCCCATGCCCACCCCGACCGACAACTTACATACACTTCTGGTCTCTCTCACTGGAGCCCAAACTCTCACCGAGCACTCTGAAGTACTTTTTCTGTACTGTGTATTCATGCATGCTTATGAATGGGCGTAGACATCTGAGTACAACTACTCTGAGAAAGCCATGTGTTAGGTCCCCTAGAGCAGGGGTTACAGGTGGTTGTGAGCCACTGGACATGGATGTTGGAGACAACATGGGCACTTCTCAAGACCTCTTTCAACAGTAGCACCCTTTAAACAAAACACCCACTAGTGTGTGTGTATCCCCCCTGCCTTCGGTCACTCTGCTTACATCTCTTTGTCAGAAGCCTGTCAGTTTCTTAGATTAGCTAGCTCCAGAGGGAAGTAAACATGGCGGAAGAGAATGGTCAACATTATAGCCTGGACCCAAAGGTGAGCTAGGTCCTCATGTCAAATCCAACCCAGCCAGAGGATCCCGAGAAAGTACAAGCCAAAAAAGAAAAAAAAAGACTGGGCATAGTGGTTAGTGGTGCACACCTTTAATTCCAGTACTCGGGAGGCAGGCTTGGAACTACATAAGGAGTTCCAGGATAGCCAAGGGTATATAATGAGACCTTGTTTCAAACTTTTAAAATTAAAATCAAGTGAATATATACAACAGCTATTTTAAGCCTCTCAGATGTGGTAAGTATTAGTTAAATGTCCATGCACATTAAGACTCTTGTGTTTAATATGTGATGGGGCTGCTCAGTGGGTAGAACACAAAAGCCTTGGGCTGACAAGGAGGTGCTGCAGTACTGTGTTTCCATGAGGTTTCTAGTGGGGAGGACTTAGGCCAGGAGTCCCAACAGGAAGGATTCTTGCCCACTGGGCTCACCACAAATCCTCAGTGTCCTCAGAACTTCCTGTGACATAAAGGAAGTATTTTTAAGATGGTACCTGTCAGATGAGAAAAATTCTGTGCCTGGGGGCTGTCTCTCATTACAGAAACGTCGGGGGCAGAGGCAGTCCTATTAGTACACCTGCCCTCTAGCCTAGTAGAATGCCTACAAAGTGGAGTGGCCAACATTCCTGCAAACACTGTCATACACAATTCTCACCAGTGATGTCTTCCATGCATGCTGCCTTATGTGTTAGCATCTCAGGCAGCTCCTAACGTCCCCAGCTGTTAGGACATTCCACGCATGAATCCAGATGTTTGTAGTCACTGAGTGCATAACAAACCTGATTCTTGTCTACATAACAGTTCAAATGGAGGAATGGTGACAAGAGGTGGCCTGTGAATCCTTTCAGTTCCCATTTCGGAAGATTATAAGTTTTAGCAATCTGCAATTATAAAATTACTTTTTTTCTAATTTATATGTGGAAAAAACTAGAACAAAGCAGAGATGCAAAGAAATCAAATTCCAGGTATTAAAAAGAGTAGAGAGTTGAGCAAAAACTGGAAAATGGGAAAACATTAAAAGCCAATGAATGGGGCTGGAGAGATAGCTCAGTGGTTAAGAGCACTGACTCCTCTTCCAGAGGTCCTGAGTTCAATTTCCAGTAACCACATGGTGGCTCAGAACCATCTGTAATAGGACCTGATGCCCTCTCTGTCTGAAGACAGCGACAGTGTACTCACATACATAAAATAAATAATTCTTAAAAAAAAAGAGCCAGTGAACATTAACCACAGCAAGCAGTTTACTAGTTTTCATCTTTATCATAGAAGTGTCTTTGTGCTATATAGTTAGACACTCACCCATAGTTCATCAATAGCAAACATTTCCTGTGTACCAGGTATCAGGTGCTCAAAATTTAATCCTCACCACAGCCCTGAGGAATAGGGATATTATGCCCATTTTACAGATGAGGAAACTTTTATGGTTTTCACAAGGCTAAGTAGGAAGACAGAACTGGAATTCAGGTGGACTGGCTCTAAGGTCTACCGCCCAATCCTGACACTGCACAGCTTCTTAAATCAGCAGTTCTCAACCTGTGGGTCATGACCCCTTTGTGGGTGGAAAGACCCTTTCACGGGGATCTCCCTAGACTACTGGAAAACTTTACAATCATACCAGTAACAAGATTAGAGTTATGAGGTAGCAACAACATGATTTTATGGTTGGAGGTCACCACAGCATGAAGAACTGTATTAAAAGGTCGTAGCGCAGCATCAGGAAAGCTGAGAAGTGCTGGTCTAGATGGAATGCTCTGTCCAGTCTGCCTCGTCGATTTTTATTAGGACTTATGGGGAGTGGAGGTTTGCAATATGTTGGTTTCAATGACTGGCTTCAAGTGAAGGCCTTCAGAAGTATGGCACTCTGCTGTAAACAAGCGGCTCTCAGCAGTGTTACCTGCTACTTTACATGTGTGAAGTTTCTGGTGTTTGCTCAGAGCAGAGCAACTGTGAAAAGATTTTTGACAGTCTGGACAATATGGCTTCTCCTTGGTGTGGATTCTCTGGTGTTGCCTGAGATGGGAGCTGAAGACAAAGACTTTCCCACACACATCACAGGCGTAAGGCTCATCCCCACTGTGAGTCCTCTCATGCTTCCTTTGATTTGCTTTCTGAGCAAAGCTTTTCCCACACGTGCTACACGAGTATGGCTTCTCCCCAGTATGAATCCTGAGGTGAAGAGTAAGGCACGAGCTCTGGCTGAAGGCTTTCCCACATTCCTGACAAACATACGGCTTTTCCCCAGTGTGAATTCTCTGGTGTCGGCTGAGATGGGCACCGGAAATGAAGGCTTTCCCACAGTCACCACATTTAAAGGGTTTCTCCCCCGTGTGGATTTTCTGATGTTTTGAAAGGCATGATTTCTGATGAAATGTTTTCCCACACTCACTACAGTCAAAGTGCTTCTCTACAGTATGAATTTTCTGGTGCTGAGTGAGGTAGTTACTCTGCTTGAAGGCTCTGTCACATTCATTGCATTTAAAGGGTTTCTCTTTAATGTGAATCAACTGATGTTTTGAAAGATGGGCTCTCTGTTTGAAGGTCCTGTTGCATATGTCACACTTAAAGGGTCGCTCACTTTGGGAAGGTTGGCGCTCACTGACAGAGGTGTTATGCATGCATTTCTCAGTCTCAGTGCAGTCATTTGGTTTTATACCAGCACAGATGCTCTGATGGCAAACGAGCTGCATACTCTCGTCACAGGATTTCGCACATGGGCTATGCTCACAGGAAGTCACCTGGGTGTGAAGCTTCTCATGCTGCCGTAGGTATTTGCTGTGGTTAAAGGCTTTTCCACACTTGGTATTCTTAAAGCATTTTTCAGTGTGCTGTGAGTTCTGACCCAAAACCTTCTCGCTTGTATTTTCTCTGATGTGCATGCTCAGGTGGCACTTCAGAGTTGACCTGCAAATGAAGTGTTCCCCACACTGCTTACATTCGTACAAGCACTCAATGGTGTGGACTTTATAGTGCCGCTCTAGCTGTTCTTTATGGCCAAAGGTCTCCTGGCATTTAGCACAGCCAAAGAGCCCTTCTGCAGCATGACTCAGCTGGTGTCGAGTCAAGTGTGAGGGTCGGCTAAAACTCCTGGCACACACCAGACACTGGTGGGGTCTGGAGCCTGAGTGGACTCGCTGGTGCTCAGTAAGGTCTGTCCGACGGCTGAAGGCTCTCTTGCACTCACTGCATTTGTGCGGCTTCTCCCCGCTGTGAATCCTCTGGTGGATCTTCAGGGTGGAGGAGTGGTTGAAAGCTTTACCACATTCGTCACACTTGTATGGCTTCTCTCCTGTATGAACAGCCTGGTGCTTAATGAGTGCTGACCTCCGGTTAAAGATCCTTCTGCATTCTTGACACTCAAAGACAGTTCTGGGAAAATGTGTTTTTCGATGTTGGAAGAAGTGCTTCCTTAAGTTGAAGATTGCAGGGCATGAAGCACATTCATAGAGTCTCTGAGTGTGGGCTTTGTGGTGTTGAGCTAGATGAAAGGCCCGACTGAATGTCTTCCCACACTTCTTACACCTGAAGCACTTAGCATGTGTAGGAGTTTTCTGATGCTTTATAGGCTTTGGATGAAGAATGGACGGACTGTCACCAGGCTGACTCTTGTGCAGTTTTTCTTGGTCACTACTTTTACTAGTAGGTGGCTTTTCTTGGTCCCAACCTTGAAAGTCACACAGTTTTGCTGAGTCAGCGCCTTTACTAATACGCTGCTTTCCTGGCTCATCACTCAGACTCTTAGAGGGCTTTTCTAAGTTGTCACTTGGAGTTTTACAAAGCTTTTCTCCAGTGTGAATTTTCTGATGCCACTGGAGGTACAGACTCTGACTAAACCCTTTCCCACACTCCTGACACACGCAGGATTCATAACTTGCCTGAGTCCCTGGACGCATGAGGAAGTAAGCACCCTGGCTGAGACCTCCCTGCTGCTCTTGCCGTGCAGGAGGCTCCCCCCCAGCGTGGGTAATCCAGTGCTGCATGAGATGGTGACCCTGGCTGAAGCTTTCCCCACACTCACTACACGTATATAGCTTCTCTTGTCCTTGAACAGAGTCCTGCTGGCTCGGGTCACTCCTGGATTCCTTAAGTATCACTGGAGTGAGGTTCTTTCCAGGAATATCAGACATCACAGAATCCTCTCTCGTGCAAAAGAGAGGCCCAGGACTGAGGCCACTCTTGGACTCATGACTCCTATGATCTATGGGGCTTTCCTTGCTACTGATGACAGGTCTTGGAAGACTTCCTGGATCTCCTAGAAAACTATCTAACCAGTTCTCACCTATACAGGCTTCAAAGTTGAGCTCCTCGTTGGAAAATATCTCCATAATCTGGGAGAGGTCTTCTTCCAAGAAACCATTCTGCAAAGGACAGTTCTTGGTCTCAGGCACTTCTGGAAGAGAAAGAGAGAGAGGGTGGTATATAAATGCCTTCTGTTCCCTGGGCCAGTGGGACAGCCATGAGAAAGGTGTGGGGAGTCTGTGTCTGTCAGTGATGTTCTGGCTGGAAATGGCAGGAGGTAGGAAATGGAAAGCTCAGGTGGTCACACAGGGAGCTGAGAGCCTACAAGGATTCCGCAGAGTGAGAGCCTTGGCCATGATCATCAGAACCATGAAACCAAGGCCACTGACACACCTCTCGGGCATGCCACCTCCCTCCTCCTCTTCTATACCACACAGCATCAAAACCTTACTCAAGACATCCTAGGTCCTTGATGGGACAGGGATATCTTTCACATGTATCCAGTCCTCCATCCTAGAACCCAGGGCCAACACCTGACCTTGACTCAGGCACGGATTTCGTTCAGACCACCCTGGAACTGTCTCAATCTTCTTTTCCTATCTCCATCATTAGCAACTAAAACTCTGGTCCCCAGTTCCTGTTGGCCCCTGCCTCTTTGTCTATTCTCCCACATCAGCCCCTGGGAACTGTCCAATCAGAAGAGCGGGCACTGCTCTGCTCACACTCTTCGAGAGCATCCTTCCTGGGACAGAGAAATACAGCAGCATGTCAGCCCAGCATGTCCCGTGACAGCCCCATGGGAGTTATCCCCTTCCTCAGTGCTATGACTAGTTCTGTGGGCTCAGATACCCTCTAACCTGATCCTCTCTGTGTCCTTTAATACCTAGTCTGAGTATCACTGCCCCAGGTAAGACTTCCCTAACTACCCACACCTCATTGCCCCATGCTCTCAGAGGCTGAGTGCTGCATAACTCAGGGAACGAATTCTACTATGGATCCTCCACTGTCCTCAGTGTCAACTGGAACACACACACACACACACAGAGAGAGAGAGAGAGAGAGAGAGAGAGAGAGAGAGAGAGAGAGAGAAAAGATGCTCACAGGATAGCGACAGTTTACATTTGTGGTGTGCTTCCTTGCAGGCAGGAGCATGTGAGCCCTTCTAGAGTCTGAAGTGGACACCTTATTTTCCATAATTACACAAGTGGCCCAGCAGCTCTGCCCTTACGTAACCCATGCTCCTGAGCACACCGCATATGCTCTTAGGATCTTTCACTGCTCTCTCCACACTGTTGTTGCCTCCTCTCCTAATACCCTGTACCATCATCGCCCAAATCAGTGCCTTCTATGGTGTGGTGGTTCCCCATCCCTTGAGCATCTCAGAGACTGTTCAGTGTCTCTTGGACTTGGGCATGACCCTTATAAACAGCAGCTTTCAAAGCTGCTTGCCCACACTGTCACCAGGCTGTTCTTAGCCTACACTAGTCTCTAGTTTCCTCTTCCCCAGCCCTTTGCTCTTATTTCCCCCCTGCATAGAACATATCAGCCAACAAGTATCAGGCCCTCTTGTGCTATGGATGATAAGGGGTCCTGGGACTTCAAAGTCAGTCAGCTAATGACTTTTCATTACAGTGACATATGTTGCAGCAGAGAAAGGCATGTCTGATAGCTCAGCAGAACTGTTACTATTAGACCTGCAAATAAATTTGTGTGCATGTGTGTCCATGCATGTTTGGCTGTCTCTGCTTGGAAACAGTCTACATGATGAAGTGGCAGAAACAGAACTGAGATCACCATCAAGGAACACTAACACAAGCAGGAGGCTGCAGAGAGCTCAGATTAATGACCTCCCAGGTGGCAGGAAACAAGGAACAGGTCTGTGGATTGTCCAGATGGGTGAAGGTAGACCTGCAGCCTCTGGTTCTGAGTCTTCCTTATGGTGACAGAGGAATACTGTACGAAGCCCCCCATGCCTCAGTATAGTCCCTCCCCCTTTCTTCTATTGCATACAGTTCCATCAGGCTGTCACATAGTGTAGGGCTGCCTGGCATTAGAAATGATAGAGTAGCTATGCCAGACAACATTTGGCTACGGCCTGACTTACTCCCAAATATGACTGTGCCTGAACCAGGAAGAAGGTACAAGATGGAAACCAGAGGTCCACATCCTTAGAGGCCACAAGGCATGGGGGGTGCATACATTAATTTGGGGGTAGAAAGCATTCTCTTATTGAGCCTTGGAGTAAAAAGGCTCTGGAGAGGCACCAAGATGCCTGTTCTGAAGGCAAAGGAAGAGACATAACAGGCATGCCAAGCCAAGGCACCTCTGCAACGACAATGGAGACAATGGGGACAGGGTTGAAGTTAGGCACCAACATGTGTAGACAGTAGACAGACATGCTAGGGGCTCGGCAGGGTCTCAGCTAGAGGCTGTAGTGGAGAGTGCAGAAGGGCCCCTTCTCCCACTTACCAGTACTGGTGGCTTTCAGCTCTTCCCTGACATCTGGCTGTGAAATCAGGCTGGGTTGTGGAGGGTCTGCTGAGAAAGAACAATCCTATTGTCACTGAACATCTAGATGCTCAGCAAGAACTTCCTGGCACATGAATCATTCGAACTGTGTAGGTGGCAGGGTCAATTCACTTCTTACTGTGGGCTAAGACCTGAAAGACACTGATGAAAGACCTCCTGGGTTGCTTGTGATGCTGTACACCAGGCAGCAGGTAAGAAAAGCTCCCGCAGTGTGATAAAATCCCATGGGAGAGGGGTCCCACAGCTGCTGACTTTCACTTTGTTTATCTGCATGGAAGCCATGCAGATGTGCTGGGAGGAATGGGTAAATTCGTAGTCATTGAATTTCCTTGTATTCAGGGTTCACCCTGAATGAGTGGAGTAGTTGTTTTCTGGAGGAACTCAAAGAAATGACTGTAGAGAGCAGGGAGGGCTCTCTGTGACTGATGGAGTTGTTTTCTGAAGGAGCTTTACAGCCTTCCCATGACTTTAGTCACACGATGCTTCTGGCACACCTGGAACATCTTGCATTATTGAGTACTGCAAACTGCACAATAAGGACTGAAATCTTATCCTAAAAGTAAGTTTTGTGTAACTATCAATAATCATGCTTCTGCACAGCTCTCTAGGGATCAATACATCAGAGGCTGGACCTCCCTATTACCTGCAAGACCTTATTTCATCCTGGAGGACCCTCTTTCTTTGATCATCCCACATAACTTGATTACCAACATCTGGAGTAGAGGGCTTCTGCCTCCTTACTGCGTGTGCTATCTAGACGGTGGATTTGGCAGTCTTGGTTGCCCCACCAGACAGTCATGCTAGCACGGCTGAATTTTGGGATTGCTCCTATACTAGAATGGTTCACACCCAAGTCCTGCTTGCTTTCTGAGACTTAGGAAGAAGGGCTCCATGAACAAGCATCAGCTCACTTCCTGACTTTGTAGGGTTTCTACTGTTGTTGATAAAACACCACGACCAAAAGCAACTTGGGAAGAAAAGGGTTTATTTTAGCTAATAACTCAGATCAACTCAGATCACATTTCATCACTGAGAAAAGGCAGGAACCTAGAGACAGGAACCATGCAGAGGCCATGGAGAAGTGGTGCTTAGTGGACCGTTCTCAGGGCTCCCTCATCCTGCTGTCTTATAGCACCCAGGACCACCATCCCAGGAGTGAGTGACACCACCCATGGTGAACTGGGTACTCCCATACCAATAATTAATTAAGAAAATGCACATACTTTTGCCTGGTAGAAGAATTTCTCAACCAAGGTCCCCTCTTCCCAATGACTCCAGCTTGTGTCAAATTGACATGAAACTAGCCAGCCATCTTCCCATTGCTGGAAACTCAGGGCATCCATGTGACTTCAATGGAGGCTCTGCAGGCTCACATTCTTGCACCCTGTGCTGTGTTCTTCCACTACAGTGAATCACAGCTGTTGAGTCTGACCACAGGCTGAGCTTAGTTGCTCCCGAGGGAGCACAGCTAGGAGGACTTTTTCTTTCTGAAGTTCTGTTTCAGAATACCTGGCCAAGAAGGGCCTGACCCAGGAGCTGAACAGGAGAGCACTGTAGACTCACTCAGCACAGGGTGGGACTTAAGCACAGTGACTTCCATAGCTGAACAGTGCTCGTCAGGGTCCACAGCAAGGACTGGAATACCCAGTGAAGAGAACAGATCACCAATCCTCACCCCAGGACAATCCCATTCCAGACGACACAGCAAGGAGTTAGACTGTGTTGGAGCCACGAGAGAGTCCAGGCTTAGTGAGAACAGAGTGTTCTCACGGAGCTGAGCTGTGTGGACGAAGGAGCCACAGGATCCTGAACCGCTTGCTGAAGGGTAAGCTCTACAGTTATAAGCAGGAAATGGAGGGGATATGCAAGAAACCAGGCAGGGATCAGAGCAGGTATCCTATACACTGTGTACCAGATGACAGCAACCTGTGAGTGACACTGTAGGGCAGTGACTAGGGCCCTGGATCAGGATGACACTTACTAAATGAGAAAAGGTCCTGGTAATTGTTCAGTTCCGCATCCCAGAACACATCTCTCTGGTCCAGCTCTGACTCTAGGTCTTCCCAGTCTTCCAAGGTGAAATCCATGGCTACATCCTTGAGGGTCACAAGCTCCTAAATGAAGCACACTGTCAGTCATTCAGGGGCTGCCACGAGCCACAGCAAGCGTGACTAGGGCAAAAACCCCTACAGGTGAAGACGCAGGGCCTTGGGAAAGTGACAGAATATCAGGTCACACCCGGAGCAGGAGACCCAGGTCTGCTAACCCTAAATTTTGTCTTCTTGTTAGTTTAAGATTTTAAGGAACCAGGTGTGGGGGCAATGCCTTTAATTTCAGCACTTGGGAGGCAGAGCTACATCCATCAATGGGAGTTCAAGGCCAACCTGGTCTACTCAGAAAGTTCCAGGACAACCAGGGCTATGTAGAGAGACCCTGTCTCAAAAAAAGTAAAAAAAATAAGTTTTTGTTTGTTTGTTTTGTTTTTCAAGATCAGAGTTTCCAGGCAGCCCTGGTTGTTCTGGGAATCACAGAGATCCACTTGCCTCTGCCTCCCAAGTGCTGGGTTAAAGGTGTGCATCATCGTGCCTGGCCCAAAAATAAGATTTCTGGGGAAGTGGGCTGTGAGAGGCAGCTGGGTACCTGGTTGAGCACAGGCCTCAGACCCTGAGACTTGTTCCTAGGCCCTGGTTCCTTTCACTAACTAAAGCCCCTCCCAAAGAAAGGTTTGTGGCCTTCAGTCACCTAGCACAGGTAGAGGGTGTGACTGCAGGCCGCAGAGCCTCAAGACATCTCCATATTCATGAGATACCTAAAGGCCAGAGGGCATAGCCAATTAAGCATTCCTTCCCAGACCCTCCTCCTACTTGCAAAGGGTATTTAACCTCAGTTCCGCCCTGAGAACACAGGGTACAGCTTCATCCACTTTCCACCATGACAATAAACCTTTTAAAACCATGGACTACCTCTTCTTGTCTTTGGGGCCCACTGTGGCAGACAGTGGAGAAGGTCTTCAACTAATGAGCTGCCACCTAATCTCCTGCTTCTCTAAGTTCCAGCCACGGAGAGGCTGTCAACCATGACCCAGCCAAGCAAGTCGCCTCAACCGAGAGCCTCACCCACCCCGAGGGGCAGAGCCAGAGCTTCTCCCCCTCGACCCTTTTGGTTGCAGGCTGGTCTAGCCCATATGCGTGCCCCCATCAACTCTTCCCAGCTCTCCCAGCAGCTCCTGGGAGCCCAAGGGCTGAGAGCAGTCGCTCCCCAACTGCCTTCTTGCCTGGGGGTCCCCAACCCAAGAGCTCCGGCCCATGTGGGACCTCAGACTGGGATCTCCCCACCACTCCTCCACCCAGTTCATGGAGTGAACTCACTCAAATTCCCGAGCTTTTGCTCCCTGAGCTGCCTAGGGTGGCAGACACGCAGGACCCACAACTCAGCCCAACAGAACCCATGCCCATGAGTAAGCTACAGCCCCACAAAGATATTTTGAAGTTTTTGTTGTTCTTGTTGTGTAGAGCCAGGGTCTTACTCTGTGACTCAGGCTGGGCCTCTTGGGTGCTAGGATTACAAGTATAAGCCACCACACTTGGCTTTCTTTATAGAAATTTTCAAACATGGAAACAAGTAGAAATAGAAACATACGGAGCCAACAGCCAGGCAACACCACTTCACCTGTGAATACTTCCACGTTAACATAACTCCTCAGACAGCACAACACTAGTGGATAGATGTGAGGAATGAGACAGCCAGACTAGCATAACCCAAGGGCGTGGGGCTGGATCTGACTCCACTGTGCTATGTCTAAGCTCCTGTGACTGTGTCTGCTCTATGTCTGTGTAATCATTTATAATAAAATGTTTAAAAGGCACCTCTGAGCCGGGCAGTGGTGGCGCACGCCTTTAATCCCAGCACTTGGGAGGCAGAGGCAGGTGGATTTCTGAGTTCGAGGCCAGCCTGGTCTACAGAGTGAGTTCCAGGGCAGCCAGGACTACACAGAGAGACCCTGTCTCGAAAAACCAAAAAAAAAAAAAAAAAAAAAAGGCACCTCTGAATACCTGTTCCATATTTGAAGTCTACATACACACTGGGAACAGTGGTACACCTTTAGTTCTCGCACTTCAGGCAGAAGCAGATGGAGCTCTTTGAGTTCACGGCCTACCTGGTCTACATAGTAAGTTCCAAGTTAGCCAGGGGTGCCCAGTGAGACCCTGTCTCAAAAACAACAACCTAAAATTAAAACAATACAGATCTGGAGCTGAATTTATAGTCCAGTGATTGAGAACATTGCTGCTTTTGCAGAGCACCCATGTTTGGATCCCTGCACCCACACAGTGGTTCACAACTGTCAGAGGTAGAATCCTTCTAATCTGTGAAGGCACCAGACACACACATGTTACACATACATACATACAGGCAAAGTACATAGGAAAATAAAACTACATCTTTAAAATTTTCACCCTACAGGTCTCAACCCAGGGGTTAAACGACCTACTTAAGACCATTAGAAATACAGATATTTACACTATGATTCATAAGGGTAGAAAAATTACAGTTATCAAGTAGCAGAGACAGTAACTTTGTGGCTGGGGTCTCCACATGAGGAGCTGTATTAAAGGGTCACAGTGTTAGGAAGCCTGAGAACCACTGCTCTAGAGGTACTAGATGGTGTTTACAAAAACAAATTTAAGAAGGTCTATGCACTGCATCTGGCTTATATGTCAAACACAAATAGTCTGATTGCACGCCATTATTCTATGCTCTCTAAGTCCCTTTTCTATTGCTGTGATAAGATACCATTACTAAGACAACCTACAAAAGAAAACATTTAGTTGGCTTCACTGTTCCTAGAGGGTCAGCATCTCTGATGGTGGAGTGAAGGCACACTGGCAGCCACAGCTGAGAGCCCACACCTCAAACCTCAAGCAAGAGGGAGAGAGCACACTGGGGATGGTGGAAAGCTCTGAAAATCTCAAATCCTGCCCTGATACACCTTCTTCAACAGGGCCACACCTTTCTCAATAGTTCCACTAACCTGAGACCATGTATTCAAACATAGGTGACCATGGGAGCCATTCTCATTCAAAGGAGCACATTGACTAAAGGCTATATATTCTGGAAGTGACACTTGTTTACTTTTGGTGCCATCTGACTGTCCCTCTGCCCCAGGTATTTCCTGTAAACTAAGAGACTGAAGTATAAAGTCCAAATTCAAGGCCATTCCTCCACCCCCAAGAGACTACTTGTGAGTCACAGCGAGCCTAAGCCAAAGGAATGCTGGTTTTCCATTAGGAGTCATTCAGTTCAAAGAGACTTCAACTTACCTCAGCCATAGCTGCCTGATTCCAGTGACCTCTTTTAAGTTCCTCTTCCTTCCTCTCCATGGTCCCTGCTAGCAAAGCTGCAGAAAGTCTCCCATCCTTCTATGGCTGACTTTCTGTTCCTGCTTAATATGTCTCCAAAATATCACAAGTAGGACAAGTTCCAATATGAGCTTGCTGTAGGGATCAAATGACAACTGTATTTACTGAAACTATCCCATCCCTAAAATTCCATCATGCTTCAGAACCTGCAGAACAATTTCACAACTATTACACACACACACACACACACACACACACACACACACACACACACACAGGCACGCATCTTAGGATCTGGCAAGGAAGTTCTCCTCAGACCTTTGAATCCTGCTCACTGCCCAGTCAGCAGCAGCACAGTGCTGGTGTGCTGGTGTGCTAGTGTGCTGGTGTGCTGGTGTGCTGGTATGCTGGTGTACAGGGCATTATTTTAAAATATTTGTTGAAAGTTGGCCATAGTAGTGCATGCCTACCCAACTCTAAGGAGGCTGAGGGAGAAAAATTTCCAGTTTAAGACCACTCAGGGATACATAACAAGACTGTGTTTAAAAACGAAAAGGTGGGTTGGACATAGTAGCACACACCCTAATCCCAGCACTTGAGAAGTAAAGGCAGGCAGATCTAAGTTCAAGACAGGCTGGAACCCCTGCTCATTCCCTACACAAGCTGAGAAATTCCATCTGCCTTCCTTCCCCTAACCCTGCCCACAAGAGAACACTCCTCATCCTTCAGAGAAAACTCTGGGCTAGCATGCCATTATCCCTTGTTCCCCCACCCCCACCCCTATTCTACTAACCCACCCATGAGTGCCCGCCCATTCTGACTATGTATGGACAAAACCCTAGTTTCAAGCTGGCAATCCTCACTCCTCGTCTAAGCTCCCTTGCTTTAGCCTGGATCTGTGACTTCACTGACCTCTGCCTGTGAGATCTGTGAACCCACTCAAGAGCTTCTTCCTCTAGACCAATCTACCCTAACTTTGGAGAACTGGTAAGCTTCCTCCCCCTACTGGTCAGTGTAAATGTCCCCTGGTCCCAAGGGAGGGTTGTTGAGCTCCCAGCCACCCTGTAGTGTCCTTGAGGACAAGCCATTCAGTCTTTCTGACTGGTCTTCTCACTGACCCTTCGATACAGGACTTCTAACCCTTGGGTAACTCCCTCCCTCTTGGAAGCAGTTTTCTGTCACTGCTGAAGAAAAATCCTAAACACAGGTAAACTGTTCTCCCATGGGCATAGGAACCACTCAACCACTAGCTTCTGCATGATAACCCCATAAGCCTAGACGTGGATGCCTGCTTGTGTTAGTGCCGCATCCCAGGACGCCTCCCAGTCTAATTCACAGGCCAAACTTGGCCTCTGTATCCACAAAGCAATATCTCTACACAGTCACTTAACTGGCACTGTAAAAGCGACTGTCCCCTCCTTCTTTATTCTCTAGATACCAATTCCCTGCCCCAAGGGAAAAGTGTCCATCCGCCCCACCCCCACTCCCATCCCTTACTCCTGTGCTCTCACACTCTGCCCAGGACTCTTGCTCTGCCAAGCAGCCCCACATCTGCCGCCTAATTATCCTCAGCTCTCCCCCCACCCCAAGCCTGCTCAATGCCACAGCTCTGTCACACCTCCTGAACAGAGTTGCTAGCCTAGGAGAGCACAACTTCAGGCACTAGCTCTTGCCCCACCACAGCCAGCCATCCCACCCCCCTTGCAGGGACTTTGCTCAGCCACATGCTCGTGGCCACCGCAGGCTGCACACCCTCACACTGCACCGCTTAGACTCATCTGAATGTTTGTCTCTGCTGTTCCACTGATACTTGGACCTCTACCTCATCTTTCTTCTCTTGCACTCCAGCCTGCACATTCGCTTCTTCCACCACTCATGGTGCAACAAGAGTTTCAAGGAAGATGGTGCTAAGGCCCAGATGTCTAAACAGTAAAAGGTTAAAGATCACTGCCTTAAATATAAATGTTTAGCCTTGTTTGTTTTGCTACTGTCAATAAGTCACAGTGTGTTCTCTTTATTTGCTAGGTACATTTTCAAACAAGTAATTAAACAAACAAAGGTTGTCTACTCAGACATGCTCAATCGACTAGCTCTCAATCCTGTCAGAAATCTGCCAAATGTAATAATGTTTAAGCTTATGACAGAGACTCCCAAAGCCTAACAGCAACCCCCATCTCCCAAGGTCTCCGAGAAGATAATGGTCACAGCGACAAGACTGCTGGATTGTGGTATGATAACCACTGAGAAACGCTGCTTCATTGCCTTGCCCACTGCCAGGGCTTGGTCTACACTGTGGACAAACAAGATTCCCTAAAAGCCAAATGTCTCATATTGCTTAAGTCAAGGGAGTCATTTCTCACTTCACAGGTATTTCCTCCAAAGGAAAAAGCTGAAACGGGAGATATTTAGAATATGGTGCTTGGTCAGGCTTGTTCTCGGGCAGCCACCATTTTCCCACTGCTCCAACTCTGGACCACAGCTCCATCTACCTAGAAACACCAGCCCTGGCACCCACGAGATGCCAGTGTGGCAGCTGGCTCTGCCAACCCACCACAATGCCCCTGCAAAGCTTGACTGAGCCCCTGATAATACCCACCATCCTCGCAGTACCCGGTAGAAAGAAGACTCTTTTTTTTTTTTTGGTTTTTCAAGACAGGGTTTCTCTGTGTAGCCCTAGTTGTCCTGGAACTCACTCTGTAGACCAGGCTAGCCTCGAACTCTCGAACTCAGAAATCTGCCTGCCTCTGCCTCCCAAGTGCTGGAATTAAAGGCGTGTGCCACCACTCCCCAGCAATTTATATATTTAGAAATGCTCAATTAACAAGATGCCCACACAATTAGAGTTATTACCCAATATCTAACCTTTTGATAGAAGTTGCTACCCAGGACAGCTTTCGACCCATCCGTGGTTCTCCATGGCTGTTCCCTCTCTCCTTTCTCCTCACCTTCCTCTCTTTCTCTCCTCATAACTCCCTACCTCTCACCAAGCTTTATTGCAAATGTAGCAGGGAAAATAGCCCCACTACAAAAAGCTTTTCGTTTTCTGGGCTTGACAGCCAGACTGACTCTGCCCAAGTTGCCATGGAGACCGGAGGAACCTGGGAACTCTTTGGACTATAGACCAACCTCTGTCATTCCTTTGGGCCTAAAGTCAGCAGGAGGTAGCTAAAGATCATGACGATCCTAGATCCTATTCCTGCATCACCATCACCTCTTTCTAACTTTTCCTTTTTAAAATTAAACCAAAACAGCGGAATGTTACCATTTCTTCTAGGCTTCACCACACAGTCACTCGGCAACAGCCAGGTAAGCCTAACTCACTATAAAAAGGCTGCTTGCGCCCTCTTCACTCTCTTCCTTCTCTGTCCCTTCTCTCCCCATTCCCCTCCCTCCGCTCTCTACACGTGCTCATAGCCGGCCTCTACTCCTCTTTCTCTCCCTACCTTTCTCTGTCTCTACTACCCTCTCAACTCCCTCCCTATGCCCTAAATAAGCTCTATTCTATTCTATCCCTGGTGTGGTTGGTACCTCACGGGGAAGGGATGCTTCAGCATGGGGCCACAGAGGCACCCGCTTCCCCGAACCGTACCTCGCCCTATCAAACGTATCTGTGGTTTCCCTGTCTCATTCATTCATATATATATATATATTTGAGATATATATATGTCAGTATACATGTTTGAGATGCTCAAAGAATAGATACAAATGTTCTTTTTATGTTTGTCTTCAAGGATTCTGGGTTAAGAGCCATCGCTAATCTTCGTGAGGACCGGGATTTGACTCCCAGCACCCACGTGGCGTCCCACACCTATGTCCAGTTCCAAGACGATCCGAAGCCCTCTTCTAACCTCCACAGTTCCTGTACGCAGGTGGGGTACAGACTTCAGACACACTTGTATACATATAAAATAAACCTTAACAAACAAAACTCCCCTCACGGCTGCTCATGAGAGGAAACCACCGCTTAAGAGCCAGGCCTGCTCCAGGCTGTGAGGAAGCAAGGCTTCAGGTGTCCATCGGGGCCTCCCGGCCTGCTGCAGAGGGCCAAGCCCATGAGCGCCTGGGCTTAGTCTTCGTACCTCAGTATGGCTCCGCGTCTCCGAACCTTGGCATGAGTGAACAGATGCTTTCGGGATCCCAAGGAAACCCAACTCCTCACGAGGAGGACTCCCTCAGAGCAACTCCCAGTACTGGGAGAAATTCCTCAGAGGAATTTCCGGTTTCAGGAACTTCTCCTCAAATTTATCCCGCCCAGGTGTCTCTGCGCGGAATTGAAGGACCTGTGGTCCCCACCCACTGAACACTCTAGGAAGTACAGAGGAAACGGATTCAGGACCAAGTGACGTCAAGGTTGGGTAGTCCACTACCTTGTTATAGGACTATTTTCACCTTCTACACCCCGAAAATTCCATTTGGAGGTGACAGCGGGTTGCCATAGATACAGTTTGAAGGCAAAGCTGAGATTACAGGGAGGGCACAGAAGCAAGGAGAGTTTAGAAATGACAACACGACCTTTGATTGGTGGCTATCACGTATTTCATTGCGATTGGTGTCAGATCACCACAGGTGCAGTAGGAGGAAAGGCGCTCCAGAGAAGGCCAAATAACGGTGAGCAATTAAGGGATGGAATAATCAGGTGTGTCGCTTAGGCTTCTGGGAAATGGAGTTTCCAGCAGGGCACAGCGCGTCTTAATGCGGGGTTAGAGGAAGTAGGCCGCGTCTGCACGCTGCCGTCAGGACCAGCGGAGGATGCGCGCGCAGCCCCTCCTTCGCCCTCCCTACCCGGAAGTTTCTGCTGGGCAACTGAAAAGCTGAGTCCAAGTTTCTGGCCGGGATCGGAGCGAGGGTCCGCGCAGTGAGAAACCCCAGCACCCACGCCTTTTCCTCAGGTACAGTGATGAGAAGCCGGGAAGCCTGTGACGTCACTGCCTGAGGAAGGCAGAGGCCGACCGAGGCTGGGGTTGGGGGGCGGGGGCGGGCGAGCACCCACTTGTTTGCCCGGGAGGCGGGGCTACAGCCACGTTGGGCGGAGCCTGTGAGGAGTGGCAGACTCTCCGCCTCCACGGTATGACATCACTGGTTTCTTTTGGATTGTGAGGCCCAAGTTCCCTCTGTGTTACTTAGGGAAGTATCAGTCCCACACTTGTGGAGGAGTTTAGCCTTTGGTCCCCTGCTGTGCTGCGTTCTTGATCATGAGCACACTCGATGGTAGTAAGTTGATGTTCATAAGTAGGGTAAATGAAATAAACAAATCGGTGCATAATAAAAGCAAGCTTGAGTATCATAGCCTGAGCTGGCTGTGCAACCGTGGGCAGCAGACCTCAGCTCTCAGATCCCTTAGTTTCGAGCACTTACGATATATGTAAGGATCTGTGCAACAGACACTTGGTGTGTCATATACCTGAACTGCCATCTCCCCTAGGAGTAGCTCGAAACTCTCAGTGATGTTCTAGCTCTTGGGAGGCCGAGTCAGGAGGATTTCGGAGACTATGGGCTACAGAGTGATAGACACCTCGGTTTAATTAAAGCTGGATGGAGTGGTATACTTGGGTAAGCTCCGCATTGGGGAGCTTCAAATGCTGGAGGATCAAAAGTTCAAGGTCCGCCTACGATACATGAGACACCGTCTTTAAAAAAAAAAAAAACGTCCTGCCTAAGGACTGGAGAGTCGGTTCAGTATTTAAGTGCTTACTATCTTCTGGAGAACTCAAATTGGTTCCCAGTTCGTGACTGCCTGTAACCCCAGTTCTAGGGAACCAGGGCCACTGGCCTTCACATGGATTTTACATGCCCATATCTGTAGTAAAAATTTTGGAATTTTCATTTCTTCGAAAAACACAGAACTATAAGAATATGTTTTGGCTTTAATCCCAGGTGTGGGACTATGGATCTGCCTCCCAGCAGCTGACTATGCCTCGTGCTCTAGCGGGTCATGATTCTGCCAGCTGCAGATAGTTTCTAGAATTGTGTACCATTTGGAATTCTGGGAACTTCTCAGAGGGTATATAGATGCTAGGGCCTCAGCCAGGGGCAGTGAGAGTTGTTTGGGGTGTTTGCAGTTTGTTAGTAGTTGTGCTCAAAGAAGAAAGAAATTAGATTCCGATTGCTCTCTCTCTGCCTCTGTCCTCCTTTCTCTCCGTTCTATGGATGGGGTGAAATGGGAAGAGGAGATAAAGGCTGGGAAAAAAGAGCTCACAAAGTAGCAAAGAGCTGCAACACATACCCACATGCAAACACACATGTACACAAAATTAAAGATCATAAAGATGGATATTTTTAAATTCTGCACAACTAGTGTACATTCTAACGTTGGTTGAGGTAGCAGACAGAAAATGCAGTCAGTTGTATAATATGTCTCTGTGGTGCCTCACCTACATGTCTGCATCCAGAGTGTTTTAGAGAATAAGAGGCCTTCTCTGCTTGCAATTCACATTGCAGTTCAGCCCGTGCTTATCTGCCTAAACTCATTTGCTGATGGCTCACCAACAGGACTGTGGCTGTTTGTCATCATCAGAGATGGTGCTGCACTAGTTATGGGCTCTATTTGTGTATGTGGCATGTATTTGCAGGTGCCAGAAGAAGGTGTCAGATCCCCTGGAACTGAAGTTACAGGCGATATGAGCCATCCACCAGAGTAGGATGCTGGAGACTGAATCTGGGTCCTCTTGAAGAACAGTGCATTCTAAATCCTGAGACACCTAACCTACCCTCAAAACTGACTTTAAACGGATGATTGTGGCCACTGTTTTGTTAAACCACAGTGACAGGTGTAGAGGCTGATGGTCATTATAGTTAGGATGTGACTGCCTCCACATCCTAGAAGAGGGAGAGGTGACAGTCTAGGCTGGTGATAGGCTGGAAGATAGAGGCTACCTGGTGTTGCCTAACTTGGGTCCATGATGGGCATCCACTTCCACATGGGAACCTGCAAGAATATTCTGACCTGAAGCCAAGAAGCCAATGTGTTTCATCAATACCAGGTTTTGCTAGTGTCTTAGTCAGGGTTTCTGTTCCCTGGCTAAGGGAACAAACATCATGACCAAGAAGCAAGTTGGGGAGGAAAGGGCTTGTTCAGCTTACATTTCCACGTTGCTGTTGATCACCAAAGGAAGTCAGGACTGGACTCAAGCACGTCAGGAAGCAGGAGCTGATGCAGAGGCCATGGAGGGATGTTACTTACTGGCTTGCTTCCCCTGGCTTGCTCAGCTTGCTTTCTTATAGAACCCAAGACTACCAGCCCAGGGATGGCACCACCCAAAATGGGCCCTCCCACCCTTGTTCACTAATTGAAAAAATGCCTTACAGCTGAATCTAATGAAGGTATTTTCTTAAGGATTTCCTCAAGGGAGGCTCCTTTCTCTGTGGTGACTCCAGCTCCTGTCAAATTGACACACAACCCATCCAGTACAATTGACCCCTTGTCAACTTGACACACAAACACATCACTAGTAAGCCTCAACCCTTATTTTCTTACCCAAGATTTAAATAACTTTAAAAGTCCCACAGTCTTTACAAATTCTTACATATTAAATTTTCAATCCCTTTAAAATATCCAATATCTTTTAAAATTCAAAGTCTTTTTACAATTCAAAATCTCTTAATTGTGGGCTCCACTAAAATACTTTCTTCCTTCAAGAGGAAAAAATATCTGTAATCCCAGTATTTGGGGGGTGAGAACAGGAGGATCAAGAAGTACAAGGCTAGCGTGGGCTACGTGAGGCCCCATCTCAAAACTAAAATGAGTTTTAAATGAAAGGATGAATGAATAAGCATTCAAGTAGCACTTGCTGGCTATTTGCCCAATGCCCAGTATATGTTAGCCAGAACTTTTTACTTGTGAAATGATCTTCAGTCAGTATCGCCCTCTTTGTTCATTTCTAGGCTGTTGTCAAGATGGAGTGTCTAATCCAGTAATCCAAGGACCAGACCCTGTGTCCACAAAGGTACCATTGCCTCTGCGGCCTATTTCCCACCACCAACCCACCCCTATTGTCTCCTCTCTTGTGGCTGCGGGTGGACTTTCCTACCCTTTGATCCAGCAGGGCATGGCAAGGCTCACCTAGTCAGGCACTTGTTCCTTCCAGGAGGCATCTTTTCCCCAGTGACTGCTGAGGAAAATGGGCTTAATGTGGAATTATCAAAGTCCACCAACAAAACTAGGTGTGATGGTGACACCTGTTACCCCAGCAATCAGCAGATGGAGTGAGGTTATCCAGCCTCCAGATGCTTGCACACTGCCTTTGCAGTAACTCACAGCTCATATTCTGATTCTTGCCCCCTCCCTTTCTGTGTTACAGCATGATCTCCTTCTGTCCAGTCTGTGGCAAAAGTGTCAAGGTGTCATTCAAGTTCTGCCCTTATTGTGGCAATGCCCTGCCTGTAGAGGAAGATGGAAGCATCCAGACTGGCAGTACGCCTCTTGTGTCATCCTTTCGAGGTAGGAGCCAGAAAAGTCCCGCCTAGTCTGGCAGTTCTTTATAGCTTCTGTAGTTTGGTCACAGTGTTGAAATCCCTGACTATGTGACTGTCAGAGGGTGCTCTCTGAGTCTCATGACCACAAGAAGAGAAGTTTCCATTACAGTTAAGCAGAAGTTGAAGTGGAAACTTCTAGTTTCTTTGGAAAAATCAGTTATGTTAAAATGATGGTTTGCTGGGGCACACAGGTGAAAGGATGTCTTGCTAAAGCAGACACAAGAAAGAATGTTTTCCTGAAGCAGACATAGGTGAAAGGATGTTTTGATATAGCAAACACATGAAAGGACCCATGGTGAAGGAGTATAAATATGACCCCACAGACAGTGGGAGATGAGCACTGAGCTTTGGTTTGGTTTGCTCTGCCTCACTGTTCTTCGCTAATGACATGCATGTATTGGTTCACCTTGTACAGTGGAGCATTGTTGAGCTCCACTGTGGTAACATTGCCATTCAAGTAAACTCGCCAAAGAACTGCTTAGGAGGTTCCTGTGGCAGCTTGCTGCTTCAGTGGCCCTTGCTGTTTCTTCAGGACTGGACTGAAACTGCCGGTTCATGTGCGCTATCTGCCTGATGAGAGGACTGGTCTGTAGCTGCTGAGTCGTGTTTGGAGTTTGCTACAGGACTGAGCTGCTGCCTAAAAAGATTGATGTCACCCCCAAAGAACTATTTCTAAACAGGTCCACTTTCCCTGTGTTCTAATAACTTTTCTCTTGCACTACCTCTGGTGGCTTGTGGGCAAGAGGAGAGGTTGAACATTTATTAAAGTAGGTTGCCAAAAATTTATGCCTATAAGAGGTAGACAGAAGGACACTTTTTCTTTTGCAGGGTCAGGAGATGACACTTTTCCAGTTTGACTGGACAGTGGTGTCAGCCACGTCCTAGAGGACAGAGATGCAGCTGAAGTGAGCAGGACCATACCAGGCTGAACTCAATAAAGTGAGGGCCTCTCGGCTCCACACAGTGCTAGCATCTCAGCAGACTGTTAACACAGTTATAGTGCAAGGCCATAGTTGGACTATGTTGGATGCATATTAAAACACTGAGTATTCAGTGTACATTTCTTCAAGAGCACACATGTGGCGTTTAGAAGGCAGCTTACAGGAGTTTGTGTTCTCTCTCCCATGTGGGGCCTGAGGATTGAACTCTCATCCTTAGGCTTAGTAGAAAGTACCTTTACCCACTGAGCCATCTTGCCAGGTGTAGGCTTACATTTTTTTATGGCCTACTTTATTTATTTATTTATTTATTTATTTATTTATTTATTTATTTAGGTTTTTCGAGACAGGGTTTCTCTGTGTAGCCCTGGCTGTCCTGGAACTCACTCTGTAGACCAGGCTGGCCTTGAACTCAGAAATCTGCCTGCCTCTGCCTCTCAAGTGCTGGGATTAAAGGCGTGCGCCACCACCGCCCAGCTATGGCCTACTTTAATAACAATTCTTAAATGCTTTAACCTCTTCTAGGCTACCACCCACCAGAGGTAGTGGAAAAGAAAGGTTAATAGGCCAAAGGAGGATATGGACCTGTTTAGAAATAGTTCTTTGGGGGCGATTCCAGTCTCCATTGTCAGGATATCAGCATTTCAGTTCACACTAGTCAGTGGCCACTCAAAAACACTTTTCAGGAATCAGCAACAGCAGTTCAATCCAGAAGAAGCCTCTGGAACACCTCCAGAAGTTCTTTGGTGTGTTTCTCTCTACCACAACAAACTCTGATCAGCAAAGAAGGCAAGGCAAACCAAAGCTACAGCACCGTCACTAAAGACCAGCATTAGCAAAGCCCAATGACCACCAGCAAAGAGTTACAAGGTGAACCAATGCCGCAACATCCTCCGCTGTCTGTCGGGTTATACTTATGTCCTTTCCACACATCACGTGTCTCTCAAGCATCCTCTCTAGCAAAGAGTTACAAGGCGAACCAATGCCGCAGCATCCTCTGCTGTCTGTCGGGTTATACTTATGTCCTTTCCACACATCACGTGTCTCTCAAGCATC